ACAACATTGTTCTCATAGAAACGTACATAGAAAGTGAGAGCTGCAGACAATTTGCTATCTTGAGTCTGACTTTTATTTATCCCAGGTCTTCAAAATAGGAATTTTTCAAAGAAAGTTTCACAGATTGAACAGTACTGAATTGAGTGGTATTAACTATGTGGCTTTTCACTGAGTGTTGCCAAACTGATGCCACAAATGGCTACTGTGTGTATCTGAGTACATATAAAAATATGAATATTTTCTTTTATGCAAACTGGCTTGATTTGGGATTTCAGTATCCTGTGTTTTGATGGAAAGGTAAATACTTTTTTTTTGTTGTTTAATTTGAATTTTATTGCTTTAAATCAACACAAGAAAACAACTAATAAAATATGAAAGATATGCAAGCTAACTTCCTCTCCCCCCCGTTCCCCCTCTCCATTCTTAGATTATTAAAATGGATGAAGAAAGGCATAAAATATAAATTATTTTGGGGGAGGGATTAATGATGGGAGAGGGAGAAAAGTATTTTACTTTAAGCCAAATTCAGTTCAGATAGCAGAGAGGACTGTTTGCTTGCAGCATGGCTTCAGTGGCACTTTGGCGAGAGTGGTTCCATACAGGTCTCCAAAAATGCACCCTCTGAACTGTTTGCTGCTGTCTCAGCTGCCAGGGCCAAGCAGGGACTGCACAGCTATGTGTAAGGGGACCCGGGCTCCCTTTGATTGTTCCGAATGGGGAAAGCTGCTTTCACCGTCCACTTTGCTCCAATCAGAGCTGTTAAAGTTTTGCTGCCTGGACTCCCACACCACCTTTCACTAAGAAATGGCTTGACAGGGATAATACCAGTCAGTGCTGTAACTGTTTATTACCTGCTATTTTACAGGCAGCTTCTAAGGAAGCTCAGCCTTGGGCTCCAGGCTGTGCTTTAAATCAGCGTCTCTCTAGTGTGAAGTGCAAGCGCTTAGTGACAACCAATTGCACAATTAAGTCTGATTTTTTCCAACTCCCTTTTATTTCAACTGTTTTGGAGGCCCATAGTATGTAAATGTAAAAGATGGCTGAGGTATTTTCCAGTTCTTTTCCTATATCTACTTAGGATGCAGCAAAGGCACAAACTCAAATGCAGGAAACTGAGTGTCTGTACATAGCAATGCTGTATCAGCATTGGTAAGTAAGTGTTTGGATGCTGATTTTCTAAGTGTAGAAATTTCAGTTTTCCCTTTAAAGCTTGTAGTGTTGATGGATAAAATGTAAGGACTATGGATATTAACTAAGCTGCTTAATTCATTGTTTCTGGAAAACAAAATATGAAACAAACATCATTTATAAAATTGAGATGCTTGGGACAGTTCAACTAGACATGGGATAAATTTGAAAGGAGTCTATTTTAAAGCTTCTGAACGAAGTTCATTTGGCCCTTGTTTCAAAGCCTTTAAATAGTTTTTCTTGTCCTGGCAGTGAAAGGAAAAGCCCCAGAGAAACCTATGCATTCTCAGAGTAAAATAAAAAGAGGATAAAAATTCTTCTAAGAAAATATTACTGGAAAAAGATGACTAGAATTTCTAGAACTAAAAATACCTCTTTTAAGCCTGAAAGTGAACTTGGCACATTACGTGAAGAAGCAGCAGGTTGCTACTATCTCTATGATCACAGAAAAATAAATTACATTGACTGGATTTTAAAATGTTCTTCTTTTCCATTTTGAACAGTGAGTGTTTTTCATACAGTTGAGTCATGTAAGAAAAGAGAATTATTTTGCTATTTTAAGATAAACTTCTCTACACAAAAAGAAAAATTCTCTACAAAGTGAAGAAGTGCTAGCAAGAAAAATAACATTAATGCCTTTACTCTTTTTTATTTAGGGTCTGACTTGAGGTGCACTTCAGTAAATAAAACAGAATGTTAGCAGGCTTTGGTAAAGTTTTCAATCTATTTTTATTGCGTTGACTACTAGGAAGATGTAAATATGATAAAGGTACTCTTGGTTTTGCAGGATCTGAATACTCCAAATGCAGAAATGATTTGGCAGCTAGCATCTTATTGGTAAGAAAACAATCATGAGTAATTATTATATCATACTTAGATCTCAGTGAAGCTTAATAATGACATAATACCGTGTTATAAAAGAGTAGCATTGTTTATCCATAAAGTACACTAACAATGTGGGTTTTGCTTGTTTGTGTTTTTTTCTTGTTATTAATTTTTGCACAACCCAAAGGTCTCAGTCCAGTCAAGAATGATGTCAGAGGAAGTTGATCCCATTCTCAGTTTCCCAGACCAACTTCTAATAAACATCCCAAGCCGTTGAAGCACAATCACTTGTATGTCACACGCTACATGTGAATTCCCATGTGAGACTGCTCACAGGAAACCTGGAAACAAGGAGATTTTAAAGTTATGGACCTGACATTCTCCTTTTCATTGCATCTGTTTGGGTCAATGATAAACACTTAGCACACCCTCTGTGTCTGGACAGAGTGGTCTGGTCTGCAGCCAAGTTTACACTGGAGGGTCTTTGGCCACGTGTAGGGGGCATGATGAGTGGTCAGGTCACTGGCTTCTTTCCTTCTTCTGTGTTTCAGGTCACCCCTGGTTACACCCCTGATTTTTGGTCTGCTGCTGCAGCCACCACTCACACAGCTTTCCATCATCACACAGCCAAACATTGTCCTGTTGATGGCTGATGATCTTGGCATAGGGGATGTAGGTTGCTATGGGAATGATACTATCAGGTAAGGAAACTGAGTGAAAGAGTGAGCAGAGCTGGTGTGATATTTAATGTAAACCTGAAATCTTCCCATAGCCTAGATGCAACCCCAGGGACAGCTCTGCTATGTGGAATTGCTTTACTGTGGGAATATGCCAATTGTTCTTGTGTATCCCTTAATTGCCTGACATTCAGAAAGAGCTCTACCCAAATATAGAAATGTTGTCCCCTCTTTCAACATATTCATAGAATCATAGAATCATAGAATAGATTGGGTTGGAAAAGACCTCCAAGATCATCAAGTCCAACCCCTGATCCAACTCCAATTACTATAGCATGGCACTAAGGGCCATATCCAATCTCTGCTTAAAAACCTCCAGGGATGGTGAATCCACCACCTCTCTGGGTAGGCTGTTCCAATGCTTGAT